TTGGAAGGGGGTTTGCGTGTGGGGACCAGACCACTTGCCTTGCTGTCTCTTGGGTGAGCAACTTGTTTGTTCTTATAGTAATCAGTCAGTCTGCCATTATTGTTTTGTATTTTCCTGTCGGTCTTTCTTTCAAGAAGTATCTTCTGTTCTTCTAGCCATTCTAGGCTGGTCTGCTTGTCCTTTCAAGTTGAAATTTCCCACCTCAGAATATTTTGGATGCTTGTTCAGTATTCCACCTATGGTCTTATGTAATGCAGAGGCTCTGCAGGAAGCAGCCTTCACTGGGCACTTTGTAACCCCATTTTAGATATTCCAATTAGTTATAGGCAGAAGACAGACTTACAAGCTTTCTATGGTGATGTTTCTGGCTACAACAGCAACAACAACAAAAAACTAGACTGAATACTGTAGTCTAAAATCACAGAAAAGGGAGAGGAGGGAGAGAATTAAAAAAAAAATAATGTGGCTCTGGTAGCCTAGTTTTTACCAATCAGGCTGCGAACTGCAAAGACCCACAGCCTCAAAAACCCTGTACAGGGTCACTATGAGTCAGAACTGACTCCACAGCACACAGCTAGCCACCAACATGAGTATGACTTTAATGGCCTCTTCAGTTTTTTGCCTTCAAAGCTGCCTGAGAGATTTCAAGATGCCACTGTTGATATGCTGTACCTCAGGATTTAATTTAATTGTCAGCCTGTTTTGTTTTTAAACTCTCTTTCCCTGTCTACACTCCTGTCCTGGCCTTTCCCGTATTAAAAAAGAAAAAAACAAAAAACAATTCAGGGTCAGCTTGTGAGCTGAGTGTATCTGTGTGCATGCGTGGCAGAAGAACCTACCAGTGGTGAGGGTGGGGCTTGTCCATTTACACAGGCACACCCTCTAGTCACCAGAATGGAGATGTGCAAATGGTGGGGAGGATGGGGGGGCAATAAACAGATTAAAAAATATATATATATCAGAACAAAACAAAACCAACAAAGCATATTGTCTACCTTTGCTCCGAGGTGCCTGAGGTGTTTTTCCATGGTGTGTCTGCTCCCCCGCTTGGTCGCGATTTCTTACTTTTGCTACAAGTTCCACTAACTATAAGCCTTCAGACCTTTTAAATATTCCTATCTCTGTGGTTCTGAGTTTTAGAGTTCTGCCCTGTATCTGTTTTGCCTGGTATTCTGTGTTATTTCTGACATCGAACTTCATTGCACCTCCACCCTAACCACCATTAAGCCCTGCCTTGACCTTGGTTTCTCCATCTGAAAACTGTGGAGTAGATTGCCACCAAGCAAGGTGACAGTGAGTGAAACCAATAATGTTTGTAAAGCACCTGAGACCCAGTTAATCAATAACTGATATTTGTTAAAGTTGGTAAAATGTGTCTTTTTTTTTTTTTCAAAAACAACATAAGTAAACTTTTCAATGCTAGGGTCTTGCTTTCCAGAAACCTGCCCTAGTTAGTTGGCATACACAGCCTGGCAGCCCTGGATTGTTGTCAGAGGCAACAGAAAGAGGAGGGGCACTAGCTAGTTAAGAAGGCCCTCCTAAGTACCATTGTTTGATATTTGAATTCATCACAACAGTCTTAATAGTGTCAATTCTGTCATTGTGGAAACTGCGACTCGGAGAAGTTAAATGACTTCTCTAAAGTCTTCAATGGCAATTACCAACAACAAACCAATCACAAGAGATTATTAGACAGATTTAGACTACAGTATTGTGCCGTCTTCATTATTCCATTGAGCCAACCAGTATTATGGGCATTACCCTCAGTTTCTATAACAACTGTAAAACATTGCAAGAATAGCAAATGAGGAGTCCTGGTGTGGCGCTGTGGGTTAATGTGCCAGATTGCAAAGCCTTTTGAACTGCAAGGTCGGCAGTTCAAGCTCACCAGCTGCTCCTTGGAAACCCTATAAAGGGTTGCTCTGGGTTGGAACTGACTCGATGGCACTTAACAACAACAACAATTCAACAAATAGAGAAAAAAAGTAACTATTCTAGATTCTGTGTTAAAAACTAATAATATAAAAGTAAAAAAGACTGCCGGTAAATATCTTAAAAGTTAAAAGGGTAGGCAAGTGATGAGACAAAGCCAAATGAAATAAATCTTACACAAAAATTAGCTTAGTGTGTTTGAAGTATAATATAGGGAGAAAGCATTCTCAACCATAGGACATGAAGACTGTGGGATTTTAGCTGAGGTTTGAGGGAATCAGTTGGTATGTTTCTGCCATAGATTGGACAAGGAAATTATTACAATTAAACATGCTGTTAGGTGCCGTTGAGTTAGATTCACCTCATAGCAACCCTATGTGAAATACTGCTGGGTCCCACGCCATCCTCACAATCATTGCTGTGTTTGAGCCCATGACTGCAGCCAGGTCAACACCAAAATTCAGATGTGTCAGATCTGAGGTGATGAAAAACACCATGGCTTGTGTCAGGCACACCTTCGTCTTCAAAGTGGCATCTTTGCTCTTTAACACTTTAAAGAAGTACTTTGAAGCTCTATCATCTCTGGGGTCATTTCTGCCACCAAAGTCAGATGTTCCAGCAAATGATCTTTGTTTCCAACTTTTGCATTCCAATCACCAGTCATTATCAGTGCATCTTGATTGCATGTTTGATCAATTTCAGACGGAGGAAGTTAGTAGAAAGCTTCGGTTTCTTCATCTTTGGTTTTGATGATTGTGCATGGGTTTGAATAATAGTTGTATTGACTGGTAGCCCTTGTAGGTATGTGGACATTATGCTATCATTGTCAACACTGTACTTCAGGATAGATTATGAAATGTTCTTTTTGACAATGAATGTGACACCATTCCTCTTTAACTTATTATTCCTGTATAGTAGGCCATGGAGTTCTGGTGTGGCACTGTGGGCTAATGCATGAGACTTCAAAGTCATTTGAACTGCAAGGCCAGTGGTTCAAGCTCACCAGCTGCTCCTTGGAAACCCTATACAGGGTCACTATGTGTAGGAATTGACTCAACGGCACTTAACAACAACATAGTAGACCATATGATTGTCTAATTCAAAATGGCCAATACCAATCTATTAAAACTCACTAATGTCTATGCTATTGATGTTTGTGTATTCCATTTTGTTTTTTGACAACTTTTGAATTTACCTAGATTCATACATCATACATTTCACTTTCTGATTATTAACGGATATTTGCAGCTGTCTCATCTC